ATCTGAAGACATCCCTGCACCCTCCCTTCCCTCACCTGACCACCTCTCCAGCATCCTCTCCCACAGAGGTGTGGATCAGAGATCCCAGGACAGGCTCCCAGCAGGGAAGCCAGACCCTCCCCTGAGGGATGAGCAGGCACCCTGGACTCCCGCCCACGAGCCCAGGCCACCCCCGTAGAGGAATGTCAGCGAATCTTCAGAATAACTGGCCTCAGCACAGACCTGCTGTGAGGACAGCAGTGGCGAGGGACGAGGGACGGTGGAAGGACAGGTGGAGCACTCACACTGGCACCCCGAAGGGTGGCTTGCTGCTAACCTGCTGGTTCTCTGGACTTCCTGAGTCTCGCGATGCCATGCCCATTTCTAAGGGCTGGGGCGAGCAGGCCAAGGTGTGGGCACAATGCCAGTGGACACGAAGGTGGATCCCGTCAGGGCTGACTCGGCTGGGAGAAGGGTTGGTGGGGGGGTGGGGGGGGGCACTGTGTGGCCTGTCCTCGCCTGAGGGCGGCTAGGAGACACACCCCTTCCCCCCGTAGGTTTCCCACTCTCCCCACCAGAAGACTCAACGCAGCAGGTTGTCGGGTGTGCGGAAGGGATGGAGCTCTTAGCAGAACCGCCTGGGGGGGCTGTTGCCCTCCAGCGGGCCAATGGAATTGCAGACGCTCATTTCTGAACAAGCTGGTGGCAGAGGGTTTGGGTGTGTGCATGTGTGAGTGCATGGCGCAAACTGTCTTGGAAACTGGAGAAGGGCGATGAGGAGGCTTCAGCAAGTCTTTCAGATGGTTCATGGTTGATACAACGCAGTGCCGCCCCAGCCCCAGCCCGGCTCTGTCCCGCTCTCAGTCCTGGGCGGTGTGGGGCACCGGGCCGTGGTGACCTGTGAAGTAGCTGCTGCGACAAAGTAGAGAGAAGAAAATCACTAAGGTTAAGACAATTCTTCAGAAAGGCGAGGATCCTTCCCGGCCTGCCCCGCCTTCCCGCCAGGGCCTCCACCCCACACCGTCCATGTCCCCACTCTCGCTCCCGACCTCTGCCTGCCCAGGGGGAGGCCTCGAGTGCAGGCGGGAGCTGTCCTCGCCAAACTGACCCAGACGCTAAACCTGCCCCTTCTTTTAGCCAAAGAAACTCTCCGAGACCTAAAGCCAAGATGGCTTTCCATCTCCTCTCTGGGCAATAATGTCATCTCTAGTCGGGGGCTCCCGAGTGCCGTCCTCCCTCCTCGAAGTCCAGTCCTGACTCGTGTTCCGATGGTCCTTCTCTCACCTCTGCCAGGCCGCTGGCTGCGCGGGGTTGAGCGCCCGGGAGCCCCCCCACCCGCTGCCAGTCCTTTTCCACGGTGATGCCTTAGACTCCTCTTCTCACCGCCACAGAGCAGGTCCCCTGGCATTTCTGTCAGGAACCGGAGCCTCTTGAGACGCCCGCCGAAGACACCATGGGAAGGCTTCCAGCACCGATGCTCACGGTACTCACCCGACCCAGCAGAGGCCCCTGGTCCGGAATTCAAGAGAGCACCTGGCTGGTGGGGTCTGCCCTCAGGCCCGCAGAGAGTGACATAAGAGGGTGATTCACAGAGCACCCAACCCAGTGGGGGCTGTCTGGGCACCTCACAAGAACCCCCTCAAGTCTTTGGCAGCCACTGGTCTCAGACGCCACCATAAAACGCTCAGTGAACGCTCTCTCCTTTTCTTGCCTCTCCTTTTGAAAAGAGAACGGCGGCAGTTGCGCTG